AGAACAACTTGGGGGCAGTCAGTGGCTGTGCTACAGAAGGTTTCTCTATCATTTCATATGAGGTTTCATTTCCACATTTTGGAGGACATAACATTCTGATGGTGCCTGACTGGCAAAGGGAGATGTTATTCCAAGCTGCCGCTGGGAAACCAGCAATGTATGCAGCTGAAAGTAGTCAAACATTTAGTGATTGAACAGTACATTTATGAGTGGAGTGGGCTGGGAAGCTACTGAGGTGGTCCTGGAAAATGCACCCTTACCTGAAACATGACTATTTATCTGGAGTTCCTGCTAGAAGAAAAGTTTGCAGCTATCGGTACTCAGGATTGGGTCGGAATTCATGAGGGAATCAATGGGATACTGTGTTAACTTCCACATGGCATAGCTTGTTATGACAGCATGCAAAAATACAGAACTCCACAGTCATCCTCCTTGCCCCAAAGTGCATTTCTGGATAAAAGTTCAAACCCCAGTCGTATTTGGGACAAATGATTTTGTCCCCTATGGATTACATTTAACTGAAATGGACTAGATCTGTACATAAAACACATTTCTGCCTTCCTCCCCCATGGAAGGAACTGTTTCCAGGCAGCTAATTACACCACTGAGGCAATGTAAGGTTATTATTTTTAAGAAACAAGAATGTACTAGCAAAAATCTGTGCTTTTCAGTAAATACTCACTTTCAAGGCGTTTTTTTACTATTTGCATTTCCTGGTTGTCATTTTGAACTCCACCTGTGGGGTGGAGGAGAGTTATAGGAGGCAGGGGGATGCCAAGGTCCTGGCATCCAATCTGCTATTAGTGGATACATGTTGCTAGCTGGGGCTTGTAATAACTTTTGCATTGGTTCATAGAATGGAAATCCTCCCATTCCTATATTAATAAACATGAAAATGGAGCCAGAAACTTACCAGGCTCTGAGGCAGCTTCTGTCCCTTCTTTTTATATTCCTGGTTACGTGGTGAGCCGTTCCTCAGAGGGGCATGGAAAAGCTCCTCTGAGTAAGGCACCCGGATATGCTGCAGCTGCTCCTGTGGCTAAGCCTGCTTTGGGACCGGTGTTAGCAGCAGAGTCACTTCACTGGCCTCATGAGGTGCTGGCTCCCATCTGTTCCCATGCTGGATTCTGGGGTCAGCAGGTCCTCATTCAGGCTGACCAAATCATCATGCACCACCATTGGCTCTGTGGTCAGCTCAGTACCCAGCACCTAGTCAAACTCTTCATAAAATGGGCAAGATGTCATTGAGTTGCTCAAGGTGTGGTTGTGATCCCTGGTTTTCCAGTACTTGGTCTTGAGCAACTGAATTCATTCCCTATACTGGTTACTGGTCTGGTAAATTTGCAAAGTTACCAGCTTCTTCATGCTTCTTCGTTCTATGTGTGGTTATTCCTGGTACTCTTAGTAAAGTCCACTGTTGTGCTGGTCTCACACCAGAGATTAACCAAAATCTGGCTGTGCTCCTGTGACTATGAAGCAGCATGCTTTGCAAAGGACTTCTGCTTGGTTTCCATTACAAATGCAGCAGATTCTCTGAAGGTGTGTTTGCAGCTCCGGGATCAGAAAACAATAGAAGGGTTAACTCTGATTTAATGAGCTGCTGCACTACAACAAGGACACCATACTGTTGGATGTTTTCAGATAAGACAGGTTTCAGAGTAGCAGCCTTGTTAGTCTGTATTCGTAAAAAGAAAAGGAGTACTTGTGGCACCTTAGAGACTAACCAATTTATTTGAGCATGAGCTTTTGTGAGCTACAGCTCACTTCATCGGATGCATACTGTGGAAAGTATAGAAGATCTTTTATACACACGAAGCATGAAAAAATGGGTGTTTACCACTGCAAAAAGTTTTCTCTCCCCCACCCCACTCTCCTGTTTTTACCAGCTCTGTGGCAGGGAACATTACAAACTGTTTTTGGAACGTCAGGGCAGTTTACAGTCTGTTTCTTTTAGGTTCCAGGCCTTCTTTTCAGGCCCTGGCTGCAGGGATGCTGCGGGTTGGACACTTGCTCTGGTGGTGGCCACATACCTCCAGGCTTTGGTTGGTGGGACCCTTCTTCCCAGCATCAGCCCCCTGTCGGGTTAAGATCCCCCTCCCAGTCTGGCCTGCAAGGACCCTTGCTTGGGGTTGTCTTTCTGCGCTGGGCCCTTTTCTGGCCCCTTGGCTGGCCCCAGTTGCTCACCACACCTGGCTCCAGACTGCTCCAGCTCCACTGTTCTAGCTCCGGCTTCACTCTGCCTCATCACTGATGCTGCTGCTCTGCCTCCAGCCCCTTGGGCTGCTTCTCTAGCCCCTTTGGCTCTGTGGCTGCAGCTCTGCTCCCAACACAGGATCTGCTCTCTCTGAGCTGCTTTTCTGGCCCCGCTGGCTGGCATGACTCTGTTCCCTAGCTCAGCTTGGGCCCCTGCTCTCTCCTTAGCTCAGCCCCACTCTGTCTAACCCAGGCAATTCCAGCTCACAGGGAGGACGGGACCCACCCTGGCCTCCTGACTTGCTGATTAGCCTGTCAATCAGGCTGACCTGGAGTGTTGGCCTCTCCCCATTGCCCCTGGGGACTGTCAGTCTCAGGGGCCTGATTTCCCATTGATCCTTCCCCTTTTGGTACTGAAGCTAGCTAACCAAAACATCCTCACTGAATGTTAGTAAGGGGAGCCCCCTTACATAGGCATAAAATTCAGTCCGACAAACCTTTACACTGATGTTTAATTTCAAGAATGTGAACACTTCAATCTCTCTGGTCACTCGATTACAGACCTAAAAGTCGCAATATTACAACAAAAAACTTCAGAAACAGACTCCAACGAGAGACTACTGAATTGGAATTAATTTGCAAACTGGACACCATTAAATTAGGCTTGAATAAAGACTGGGAGTGGATGGGTCATTACACTAAGTAAAACTGTTTCCCCATGCTCATTTTCCCGCCTACTGTTACTCTCACCTTCTTGTCAACTGTTGGAAATCAGCCATCCTGATTATCACTACAAAAGGTTATTTTTTCTCCTGCTGATAATAGCTCACCTTTAATTGAACACTCTCATTATAGTGTGTATGGCAGCACCCATTTTTCCATGTTCTGTGTGTGTGTGGTCCTACTGTATTTTCCACTGCATGCATCCAGTGAAGTGGGTTTAGCCCACGAAAGCTTATGCTCAAATAAATTTGTTAGTCTCTAAGATGCCACAAATACTCCTTGTTCTTTTTGCTGATACAGACTAACACAGCTACCACTCTGAAACCATTTCCATTCGTGTGAGTCTAGAGCAACTCCACTGTCTTCCATAGAATTGTTCCAGAATTTATGTACTTACCTGGGAGCAGGATTAGCTCCCTTATATGCATGGCTTGAGTCAGTTTATCATAGCCCTCTTTTATTATTTATCACCAATTTTCAATACAGGTTGCCTCGGGTAACAATAACTGCCTAAGAAAAGGTAGGGAAAAGCCAATGAATGCCATAAGTTAAAACATGGATTTTTTATAAACATATATTAGTTTATTCTTCTAAAAAGGGATTGAGGTTTTCAAGTAAGGCCAGAGCTAGTCTTTTTTGATTGGTCTCCCTGTGATGAATATTTATTCTCAGTTGTTTATTTTTTGAGGGACATGAAATAATAATTGCTGCTCTTGAAGGCTTTTTTGTAAACTTTCTGAACTTTATTTATTAATAATAACTTTAAAAATAACTTTATTTATTAAAACTTTTCATTCAAGCACAGAACTCCTAAATGACTGTTCACATTTAAATTTGAGTAGAGAGAGAGCTGGGTAAAATGTTTAAAATGTCTCTAATGAGCTTTATTTTTACTGTGAAATACAAATCTTAAAAATACATCTACTGACAAGAATGAACTTGTGCTCCAGAATTTTCACATTAGGGACCTGATACTACAGTCACTGATTGAGTGGGCAGGGTAGAGCCTTGGAAGCCAACCCAAATCTGTCAGGAAATCTGTCAGGACCCAACTACAAGTGTCAGGTTCAAGGTCAGATCTGAAAATGACTTGGCAATCTTGGTTAGGGTCAGCTGTCCTCAGGTCAGGTTTGAGTCTTTAAAATTAGGCTCAGGCAGACCTCTAGGGCATGTTCCTATTGACTCTGTTGGGACTCTGTGTGGGCATGAGAGTCAGTACAGTTCTAGTTGCGGGATCTGAACCTAGGAATGCAATTACTGGATTTGTGAATGCAAATCTAGGGTTTGGTAGATGTATGTGCATTTTTATGGGTAGACACGTAACCACCAACAAAATGTTGATTCTTACTTTACCACAGCAATATTACTGGCTTCAGTTTATATAGATTCTTCATGTAGCTTTTATTAACCCCGCCAAACTCTCACCCCCCCCCCCCCCCAATTATTAGAGTTGCTCTTATGATAAAGCCCTGGCTGGGATGATTTAGTTGGTGTTGGTTCTGCACTGAGCAGGGGATCGGATTAGATGACCTCCTGAGGTCTCTTCCAACCCTAATATTCTATGATTCTATGATACAATTAAATGATACGATAAAAATGAGCCAACATGTCCTAGGCCTGACAGTTACTGGCATGCCTTCTGGTGAAGTTTTAAGAATAGGGTCTTTTGACATGTATTCTTCAAGCTTTTTTCTCCTTTAGACAAGAAATCATCAGATGCCAAGTAAGGCTTTCACAAGGTTTATCTTATGTACTGAACATTTTGTTGTGAAAGCAGCATTTTAAAAACAGCTGTTCTGCTTGCTATGATTTATGTTGGAAGGGTGAGGGCAGCACTGTTCCTCCTTGGATGCCTGTCTATTGAAGTGAGATCTCTTTGGACACCTCTCGGTGTTGTTTTTCCAATAAGGGAAAGGAGCAGAACTGTTCAAGAATCTGGGGTAATTCTTGCCTTCCTTCTAACCTTGAATGTAACTAATGATTATGTTGTGTATGTATTGCATATCAATGACCAGTTTTTAAATAGGGCAGTAAATATAAATGCTTTCATAATGTGGTGTTGGAAATGTTCCCATGTTATACAGGGGTCAGATTCTGCTCGAATTAAAGTCAGTGAAGATTTGATATGGAATTCATTGCGAGAGGGTTGGGTCCAGTACACTGAAGGCTTCATACTCTGCAAAGAATCAGAAAATACATAAATGATAAGCCTATGATCTTCGTTACCTTCTCAGGCAAGATGCTGCAAACGCTAAGTATGAGTTGTGCTAAGTTTTACAACTATCTTTCAGAGCAATATTCTGATGATCCTCTTATAAGGGGGGAAAATGTGTATTTATCACATGCACACTGGTTGCCAGTTAAATTAGTATTTGCCAACAATCATCAGTTATCCCTATATCTCAAGTGGGTGATATCTGTGTGGTGACTTATGGCAAATGCTGACTTTTTAATGGCAATCTTTGTATATTAGAGCTCACTATTATTCGTTTCTGGGCTTAAAGTGCTCTTTTGGGTTGTTTAGGAACAGTTTTTGTAATTCTTGATAGTGCTCACACAGAGGGAGAAGAATTCTTTGTGGAATTAATAAGAAGGTAGCAAGGGAACTTATGAATATGTTTAAGTACTGGACCAAAGTATGTAATTTTGAAAACACATTTATTTTTGTGTATAGATAAGAAATGGTTGTAGTTCCATCTAGACGTACTTTAATGGGATGTCTCAAAATTTGATTTGGGGTGGGTAGGTACTTTCAGGGTTGTTGTTTGTTTGGTTTTTTTTACTGTTATGTGAACATTGTGCTTCACAGTACAATATCTCTTTTAGGGATAAGGGTTGCTTTAAATGTTGTCTTTATTACTGGTGGGATGTTGCATACTTTTATTATTGTTGTTATAAAACATGCTTTATTGCACAGTGATGTTAGTGAGGTCATTTGTTTTGCAATTAAGTTACAAATCCTCTGGAATCTACTGTGCATCTCTACTCTTACACATTTATGGGCAAATTCATAGAGGCCACTGTCAAAAGACAGTTACCAACTAATGGCTAAGTAAATGAAGATAGTTGATATTTAGTCACTTTTTTTAAAATATGTATGTTTCTTTTTCTTTTTTTCTTTATGCTTTTGCATGCTGCGTGACATCCTAAATTATGATTTAGGCACATGCTTACCTTCTTTACTGAATGGGGAGCCAAGTGCTGTGGGTATAGAATGCCTTCTACCTGGTGAAAATATATTTGTGCCGTTTGCAAAGTTGCTTTGTTCATCTTTTTTTTTTTTTAAAAAGTGTGATCAATCTATACTATCACAGTAACACAGAGATGGTTGTAAATATTTGTATTTTTATAAGAAAGCATCAGTCACAAAATTACATTTCAGCAGTTTAGTTTAGTTTACTGGGATGGAAAAGGGATAAAAATAAGCACATGCAGTAATAAATGTATACAGCTATTTTTATATATTTTAAAATATATTTGTATCTCATGTTCTTTGATATACTGTGAACGTGGTCATTTAATTTGATTTCTGAAGTTAATGTTTGGTGGTCTGTTTTCTGCTGCAAAGGTTCTCCAAATGAAAAGGCAGTCACTCAGCTTCTCTGTGCTAAAGTTTCAGTGCAGGTTACTATAGAGGAGGAAACATCACTGTCTTAGTCATCAATCGGCAAACTATTTGTGCAATTCTGCATTTCTTACACTGAGACTATTTGGTAAATTAGTCAACTTGAGCAGGGATTGCAGAATCTGGCTCTCTATTAAAATTTTGGTAGTCTCACTATCCACTTCTGTAGACATTACATCACTTTCAATTGAAATGTAAAGCCAGTTGCAGTAGAACTTTGAAGAAATGGTGTATTCTGATGATGGAAAAATCAAAATCAGCATCTTCACAACTTGTGAGAGTTATGATGATCTGTAAACTAAATACAACTGACAAATGCTTAATTACCAAAAGTTTTTATTTGTGCGTATGATCTGTAGTTATGATTATCATATTATTTGCAGTTATCAGTGCATGCACCAGTGTCTTCTGTAGAACCGATTGCTGATTCATGAGGTTTATTACAGTAACTGAACTATGAATAATTCTGTGTATATGGTCTGAAGCCAGAAGTAAACATTTTCATGTTATTAAAACAGCATTGTTAATATGTACTGAAGTTATCCAATTAAAAGTCCCAAAAAGGATCGGTTCATTTTTTTCAGATGTTTGTATCAGTAAGTCAAAAGACTGTTTTATCTTGGAAAAATGTTTAAAATAGTGGAGACTAGTACAATTGCGTACATAAGGGGATGGGAAAAGTTACTAAGTTACCAAGTAGCAGCCTTGTTAGTCTGTATTCGCAAAAAGAAAAGGAGTACTTGTGGCACCTTAGAGACTAACCAATTTATTTGAGCATAAGCTTTCGTGAGCTGTGAGCTGTAGCTCACGAAAGCTTATGCTCAAATAAATTGGTTAGTCTCTAAGGTGCCACAAGTACTCCTTTTCTTTAAGTTACCAAGTTACTTTGTTCAGAACCAGTTTTACTCTTTCAGAGCCTAGTTCTACTTGCCTCATGGGGTTAATCGGTTACAGGTAGTTCATAAGGTGACTCACCTCTACATCAGTGTAGAGTAGAATCTTCTCAATATAGGAGTTGAAATATTTCTCATACAGCTACTGGCTTGAGAACTAATCCTACTAGTCTGAGTGAAAATTTCTTGCACTGCTACCTTCCCTTTCCTCCCCACACCACTTAATAGGGTCCTCTTCACTGCTACAAGTTGCAGTGTCTGCCTACTTTGTTCTTTTCCAGTATTTCTTGCCAGGTGTCTCTTCCTGGCATAGGGTAGAAGAGGGTGCTGCCATCACTGTTCCTTGTCAGCTGTATTGGGCTCTCTGCTTCTTAGTTCCATCCTTAGGCACAGAGCTGGACCATGATGGAGAGAAGTTTTGAGGCAGACACACCTCCTGTGCATCTTTTGGGGAGGAATCTAGCCTTGCCAACCGCTATCTTCCTGCCTGTGTATATAAGCAAACTGTATAAAGGGGAGGTAAGCTAACTCATCAAAAACAGTTGAAAAGTACAGATTGTCCAAGGGAATCTGGTTCAAAAAGATGGAGTAAAAATAAAAAAACAAATTCTGTCCCCGAAGGTAATACATAACTGTTAAACAGATTTCAGTGGGAAATATATACACACATCTTCAAGCAGAATATTTTGTCCAGAAAGTTTAACTCTTTTTTTTTTCTTTCACTTTTTGAGTCTGACATTCAAGTTGTTTCTTTAGGCTTCCTGCAAAAATCTTGCATCATGTCTTGAATGTTCAAATCTGGGTTACTTCAGTGAGGAATAAGTTCCAAATCTGAAGGCCCCTAATGAAGAAAGCGGTACCAGCATCTCCCCTCTTATTTTTAAGTGAAGGGCTCTTGCTCATTGCTTAAGCTGATCTCGGGTGTGCAGCTTTGCATGGGGAGAGGCAGTCTCTAAAGTAGGCAGGTTCGAAAAATGTTATGGCTTTATAGGTCAAAACAAACTCCTTAAATTCTGCATGGAAACCAATAGATTCTTTTGTTAGTGACATTGGTCAGCTGAGTATTTTCTTGCTGGATACTTTGCTGTGAAGTACATATGTGCTTGGGGAACATAAATAAAATCTCATGCAAGTGAAAATCATTCAGAAAATTACTTACCCAATTGTATGTGTTACAATTATTTAAGGTTGACTACAGTTCCTTGTTCTGTCACTTGTTACAGTGTACAGGAAGGTAGACATGCTTAAATGTACGTTCTTGTGTGTGTTTGGGCATCTGTGTTTGTACAGCCTATTTTGGGCTTTCTGTATTATCATATTAATAGTTACCCATTAACATGGAAGAAAATGTGCACTGTTCAGTTGATATCTCTCTCTAGAGGGTTGATGTCCATGAAGTTAACCGATCTGTAGAAGTATTAGAGGCCAACCTTGCAAAAAGTGAAATAAGAGGAAAGCTGCAGCAATATATTATAAATGCTGTATTATGGGAATGATGATTAACCACCTCACCCCCAACTGTCTATATATTAGCTTTCAGACTACGAGATGCTGATATCTACAATAGAGCAAAGTAAGTAGGTATGCTGCAAGACATGGCTGACACAAATAGGAATTGAGACATTTTTTAAAATCACTGTATCTTCTACAAGGATATTATTTGCCTTTCTAAAATCACATTCCTGTATTTAAGAACCATACCAAAGTGGATGACAAACTACTGGAGATACCAAACAAAAAAGTTAAAAACTAATCACTTTTGCCATGACAGAGTCCTCATTTTATTTGGATTGTATGAAAGAGCATATCTATGCTTAGGGAAGTGGAACATTAAACTTAAATCAACATAATAGGTAAATAAGTATAACAAAGTTCAAACACCCATATATGCTGTACAGTGGAAACCTCACCTAATCATCAAAATAGAGAAAAGATTGGAGGGGAGGGGGGGAGATAATTCCAACTGCCTTTCCCACCGAGGGAAAAGAAGGGTATCATACTTATTCAATAATTATTTAAAAGCATAGTAAAAGTATTCCCTTAATAACAGACACAATTGAGGTTGTGAAATGCAAAAAATAGGGAAGTGGGGAATAACAAATGAGGCCAACTTAAAAAAAACTTGTAATATTTAAGTCAGAAGAATGATTAGAGAAGCAGGGAGAGAGTTTCAGTCTTTAGGGCTCATTGCAGGAAAGGCAAGCTAATCAGGGACATGATGCTGAGATTCCTAAAATGCAAGTGGTATCAGAGTGCAGATAAATGTCAGCTAGGCTCTAATATAGGTGAGACTTACACAATTCAGGGCCTTAAAAACTATTTATGCCAATTTAGAGACAGTGTGAATGTAATATGATTGCTCAAATCAGCTGTTGTAGGCTGAGCAAGCTGCCAATGACAGAGAAAGGATGGAACTGCAATAATCAAGCCTCCTGATCATGAGGGCATGTTTTGCTGATTCATTACAGGTTAAATAACTCTGTGTATGCTGTACCTGACATGGTTTATCATTGACAGAGGATGGTCAAGGTTAAGCCAACATCCTTATTTTTCTTCATTACATCTGCATGAGTTCTCTTGAGTACGTCATTGGGGTCCAGGTGCAGCTGTAGTTGAATAGTTGCTGTTTCTCCATCAGCACAGTAGAACAGGAAAGTGGATTCTGAAGAGTAAACTATTCAATTGGTGGGCTTTGTAGGCATCAGTATTAAATTGGCTAAAAATATTCAGGGCTTAAATGCTATACTTAGTGTGTGTGTGTGTTTATTATATATATATTTCTGAAGTCATTTACATGGCAGAAAGAAATTGAAGGGACAGTCAATTTATTTTTGACTAATTTAAAAAAAATCCAGTTTCTGTCAGAGTACCTTTTAAATAATATGCTCTGAAAGTATTTGTAAGCAGTTATTTAAAAGTACGTAAGGGTTTTTTGCTTTTTGGTTGATATTTACAAAGTCTATTAGCAGTGGAGGAACTGTTTACCTATGCAGAGGAGACATTGAAACGGTACACAAAGTGTTGGAGGGTACGTCTACACTGCAGTTAGACACCTGCAGCTGACCTGTGCCAGCTAAGTTGGCTTGTGGGGCTCGGGCTGTTGAACTGCAGTGAAGATATTCAGGCTCGGAGTGCAGCCCAGGCCCTGGGACCTTCCCATTTTGCAGGGTCCTAGAGCTTGGGCTGCAGCCCGAGTCTGAACATCAACATTGCAATTAAATAGCCCCTTAACCCAAGTAAGCCCCATGAGCCAAAGTGAGCTGTATGGGCCAGCCATGGGTTTTTAATTGCAGTTTAGACATACCCAGAGAGACAAGGTGGATGAGGTAATATCTTTTATTGGACCATCTTTTATTGGTGAGGGAGACAAACGTTTGAGGTTACCCAGAGCTCTTTAGGTTTGACAAAGTATTCTCAAATATGCAGAATAAACAAGGTGGAAAAAAAAGAAATCTTTTTGTTAATTTCTGAGTTATAGTACTCATAGGTCAAGTACAGACGGTACAAAACTTTCAGACAAATGTGAGTTTTTTTCCAAATAGATAGTGACTCTGTAAAGATAAAAGGAAGAGACTACTGAGGATGCCCCAAAAGTTAATGTTACAAACTAACTTTACACAAGCCTCAAGTTAAAATGCTGCATAAGTTTTAGGTTCAGAAATTTATTACAAACCAAAGTCTGTCTTAGGGCATGGCTACACTTGGGAGTTAGATCGCATTAAAGCAGCCCAGTACGCTCTAATTCACAATGCGTCCATGCTGGCAAAGCACGTAGAGCGCTCTAACTCTGCAGCTAAAGCGCTCCTGGTACTCCACCTCAGTGAGTGGAATAACATTTGATGCGCCCCCGCTGGAGCGCTGCGGCGCCAGTGTGGACGTCCTGGCCTGTTAGTGCACTCTGATCGGCCTCCAGAAGTGTGCCACAATGCCTGTTCCAGCCACTCTGATCATCACTTTGAACTCTACTGCCCTGCCCTCAGGTGACCAACCATCAGACCCGCCCTTTAAATTCTCTGGGAATTTTGAAAATCCCCTCCCTGTTTGCTCAGCCAGGCGTGGAGTGCTCTCAGCGAATCTTTCCAGGTGACCATGCCTCCAAGCTCCGGGCAGTCCCCAGTATGGAGCAGTGGCAAGGTGCTGGACCTCATCAGTGTTTGGGGGGAGGAAGCTGTCCAGTCCCAGCTACGCTCCAGCCGTAGGAATTACGATACCTTCGGGCAGATCTCAAGGGACATGATGGAAAGGAACCATGACTGTGATGCTCTGCAGTGCAGCATTAAAGTGAAGGAGATGCAGAATGCCTACTACAAAGCCCACGAGGCAAACAACTGCTCCGGTGCTGCCCTTGCGACCTACTGTTTCTACAAAGAGCTGGACGCGATACTTGGGAGCGACCCTACCTCCACTCCGAGTACCACCATGGACACCTCAGAGCCGAGTGCAACAGGGCAGGAGGAGGAGCAGCAAAGTGGGAGCGAGGGTACTGAGGAGGAGGAAGATACCCCAGTATCCCTAGAAGCATGCATCCAGGAGCTGTTCTCAAGCCAGGAGGAAGGTAGCCAGTCGCGGTGGTCGGTGCTTGGGGAAGGGCAAACATCAGAGGAGGTTCCTGGTAAGCGGCTTTTATTTTGGAAAGGAAGTTATTAGGTGCGGGCTCTTGGGATGAGGAGGGTTAGGGCTGCATGCATGCTTATATGCGGAATAGGGCGTTGATGTGCTCTCTCAAATCACAGTAATCGGACTCAGTGATCTCTTCAAAGGTCTCAGCCAGAACTTGGACAATGCGCTTGTGCAGGTTTCTTGGGAGAGCCACTGTGGTCCTTGTCCCAGTCAGGCTAATGTGTCTGCACCACTGTGCTGTGAGGGGCGGGGGACCATTGCTGCACACAGGAAGCCGCATTGCAGTAGAAGACCCTCCCTTGCTTCCCAGGTCACCCTCAGCAGCAAGATACCTTCCAGGATGAACTCCTGTGGAAAATGTGGGGACAGTTTTTGGTATAGGGACCCCTGCAGCTGTTGGCTCTCCCCAAGGCACAGAAACCCAGAGGACAGTACAGCCATGAAAGAATCATTCCCCCTTGACCCTATGCTTACTCACCATTTTGGTGCTCCTAGGGGTTATGTGCACTCGCTTTGGGACAGGCAAATTATGCGATTGTGTAGACTGTGCTTGCCCTCCTTAAGTACGGGGGAATCATTGCTCTGTCTGGCGTGAACAATTCTGCCTTGGTTAAGTGTTACATTTTGCCTTTACAGATGCAACCTTGAGATCTCAGCTGTCCGTGTTATCACTGGCCGAGAGGCTGCAAAGAATCAGGAAGAGGCCACGTAGAAGCAAAGAGGACATGCTGCATAAAGTCATGCAGCACTCCCTTAATGAAAATCAAAAAGTTCAGGAGTGGTTGGAGAGTGTAAGGAGGGTCCGCCAGCAGAATGTGGATCGCCAGCACAAAGCACAGAGCTGCTGATAAGCATCATGGAGCGCCAAGCAGACTCGATCCAGGTGTGTGTAGCCATGCAGGCGGAGCACTACTGCGCCCCACCTCCGCAGCCCTTGTCCCAAAACTGTTTCCCTTGTTCCCCCATGTCACCTCCAACCCACTTTCCCCCGCAATATAGGGCCAGGGCATCCACACTGGTACCGCAGCGCCCCAGCGGGGGCGCATCAAACATTATTCCACTCACTGAGGTGGAGTACCAGCAGCGCTGTAGCCGCGGAGTCAGATCGCTCTACGTGCCTTGCCAGTGTGGACGGGGAGTGAGGTACAGCACTCTGGGTGGCTTTCTTGTGCTGTAACTCGCAAGTGTAGCCAAGGCCCCAACTTCTCAAGCGCTCCCAAGACACAGTACTGCAGACTGGAGATTTTTACTTACTTGATCAAGCTATCCTATTTTTCTCTCCTCTCCCCTTCACAGCTTGTTTAATCACACTACTTTCACACGAAACACAGCCATAACAACAGGGACATTTTAAAAATAGCTTGTGACTTTGAGGAAGAGCAACATGTGAAACGTACATCATTGTGGCAGCATAAATTCTGCTAGTGTGAGTACAGAAGCTAAAAGTGAGCTTTAAAGTATTGACAATATAACTTAAATGTGAAATTTCACTATTTAATTCGTGATCAAACTTCAGTCACTTTGGGAGAGAATTTGGGATGGAAATTGGTAGGTATGAATCTCTCTCTCTCTTTTATTCCATTGCTATCCCTCTTTCTTTGCCCTTTTCCCATTGAAATATTTGTTATAACTAGGGCTGTCAATTAATCTCAGTCAATGCCTGCGATTAACTGAGAACAAAATTAACGCGTTAATAGCATACATCTGGTCGGAGGGAGGCATGGGCTGCAGAGGGACTTGTCAGTGTCCAGTCAGATGCAGTAACCCAGTCTGCCTCCGGAGGGTGGGAAGAGGAGAGAAAAGAAGAGAAAGTGGCTCCCATTCCGGCACCGGCAGAGAGGTAGGGATCTTGAACCCACCATTGCCTCCAATTGGGCCCTTACTCTGGGGACTGACCCCTTCTTCCTGTGCCATGCCCCAAGACTCCACTAAAGGAGGAACAAGAAGTAGGACTGAGTGAACTTGTAGACTCTAAAATTTGACATTGTTTTATTTTTCAGTGCACTTAGATGTGGGGAAAAAAAATCTACTTTTCTAAGTTCATGATAAAGAGATTGCACTACAGAATTTATATGAGGTGAATTGAAATACTGTTTCTTTTTGTTTTTTATAGCGCAAATATTTTTAATAAAAAATAATACAAATTGAGCACTGTAAACTTTGTGTTCTGTGTTGTAATAGAAATCAATATATTTGAAAACGTAGAAAATATCCAAAATATTTAAATAAAAGGTATTCTATTACTGTTTAGCAGTGTGATTAAAACTGCGATTAATTGTGATTAATTTTTTTATCTCACGATTAATCATGATTAACTTTTTAATTGCTTGACAGTCCTAATTATAACAATAATAATAATATATATATATATATATATATATATACACACACACACATTATTCATAAGCAAGGGGAGACCAAATGCCTTGACAAACTAAATAGAAACTTTGACTAGCAGCCCTTCTACTGTGAGGCATAACTTTGTTTCAGTAACTGAAAATTATGCTTTCCTCTTTTAGCCAGGTCATATTGTGAGAAATTACTTGCACAGCTCTAGAAATAAAACTAACTGGAAATTCCTGCGTCCACAAAACCTGACCTTGAATGTATTTGTTCTTTTGTACACTCATCCGTGCTCAGAACAGTAACTAATTTATACTGGTGTGTAGTTTTTTTCATGCAAAGCTTCTATTTTTATGCGTAGGGGAGGAGAGGTTGCTATAACTTTTCTGAGGATGTCATATATATCTTCATTTAGTGTGGCCCTTAGGGGTTACAAGTGAAACTAAGCAGAATAGATATTTTGGAAGTAAATATGGTGTAGAAAACAATTAGTGAAGGACTAGATTAAGGGAGTAGTAAATCACTGTAATACAAAAAGAAAAGGAGTACTTGTGGCACCTTAGAGACTAACCAATTTATTTGAACATGAGCTTTCGTGAGCTACAGCTCACTTCATCGGATGCATACCGTGGAAACTGCAGCAGACTTTATATATACACAGAGAATATGAAACAATACCTCCTCCCACCCCACTGTCCTGCTGGTAATAGCTTATCTAAAGCGATCATCAGGTTGGGCCATTTCCAGCACAAATCCAGGTTTTCTCACCCTCCACCCCCCCACACAAATTCACTCTCCTGCTGGTGATAGCCCATCCAAAGTGACAACTCTTTACACAATGTGCATGATAATCAAGTTGGGCTATTTCCTGCACAAATCCAGGTTTTCTCACATCCCCCCCACCCCCATACACACACAAACTCACTCTCCTGCTGGTAATAGCTCATCCAAACTGACCACTCTCCAAGTTTAAATCCAAGTTAAACCAGAACATCTGGGGGGGGGGGGTAGGAAAAAACAAGAGGAAATAGGCTACCTTGCATAATGACTTAGCCACTCCCAGTCTCTATTTAAGTCTAAATTAATAGTATCCAATTTGCAAATGAATTCCAATTCAGCAGTTTCTCGCTGGAGTCTGGATTTGAAGTTTTTTTGTTTTAAGATAGCGACCTTCATGTCTGTGATTGCGTGACCAGAGAGATTGAAGTGTTCTCCGACTGGTTTATGAATGTTATAATTCTTGACATCTGATTTGTGTCCATTTATTCTTTTACGTAGAGACTGTCCAGTTTGAGCAATGTAAATGGCAGAGGGGCATTGCTGGCACATGATGGCATATATCACATTGGTGGATGTGCAGGTGAACGAGCCTCTGATAGTGTGGCTGATGTTATTAGGCCCTGTGATGGTGTCCCCTGAATAGATATGTGGGCACAATATATAAAGTCTGCTGCAGTTTCCACGGTATGCATCCGATGAAGTGAGCTGTAGCTCACGAAAGCTCATGCTCAAATAAATTGGTTAGTCTCTAAGGTGCCACAAGTACTCCTTTTCTTTTTGCGAATACAGACTAACACGGCTGTTACTCTGAAACCTGTCACTGTAATACAGTACACCTCTTAAATTGCTAGCTTGAGCTTTGTGATGATAAAGTAGTTAATATACAATGGCTTTTGGTTGGTGTGAACTGAGCTGGGGATCTCTTTCAAACTAGATGGCATTCATGTCACAGCTACTCTCGAATTGTCAGCAGAAGGAACTGAGTGGACATGGAGATTAAGCTACTCTTCAATTTCCTGAGGTGGAGTATCCAGCTGAAGGTTGGAAATGGTGTAGGGAAATTTGTCCTACTGTTCATGCTGTACTGATTTTCAGATAGAACTACAGTCTGTATGGTTGTCAGTTTGGCACACTTTGAGGCCTGAACTCACTAAAATATAAATAGATTTAATAAATGTGATTAATTTTCCATTTCAGTTTTGTACTGACCTATTTGCAAATTATTTTTTGATATATGAAGGAGGGGAGATAGCTCACACCTGAAAAGCAATGTGATTTTATTTCAGGGATGTTTGCAGGGGGTGGAGGTAAAATGTGGCCTTTTAAGATAAAGACCAAACTTCCCTGGAGTTCAGAAGACTTTTCACTCTCTTTTTTTCATTGCACACTGAAGCTCGCAACTTAAAATACAACATTAGGGTTTTCACTGGAAATACTTCAGGAAACACTGCAGATATTTTGATATGTTGGTTTTCTGCATGCTCTGTGTTACACAAAACAGATTAGGCAATCCAGTGTAACCTTGTTTTTGCTTGTGTAAAGAAAAATGGAAAGCTAAGCTGTAGTTTTTAGTGTCATGTGCTGGATTTTTGATTGGAATGGTACTGAAATATTTGCAATGGAATATATTTCCTTTTTTGTATGCTGTATAAAGCAATTGTTCTTTTTAAAGAAAAAGTAACACTGTAAATACTCTATTAGCAGTCTGATTCAGAACCTGCCTTTTCATAGGAAAGGTGTGCATGACTGTTTGTCAGTGTCAGAAGTAAAGTGATGTTTAACCAGTTTGTAAACTGTGTGGGGTTCAAATCCTTGAGAGCCTTGTTTTTTTCTGTTAAATGTACCTCAGCTACATGGTTCAAGTACTGTAAGTAGCTTCAGGTTCTTGTATAGTTGGAGTCAAGCGTGTTTCTCTTTGGAATTAGTTTGCTCTCCTCCTAGGAATGCTAAGCACTCCTTAAAGAATCTGTTTCATTAGAGTTACCATACGTCCGTATTTTCCCAGACATGTCCGGTTTTTTGGTTTTTAAATCGCTGTCCGGGAGGAATTTTAAATATCTTAAAAATGTCTGGGATTTTGTCATTATTATTTTTCCCCAAAGACGAGTTGATCATTCAAGAAAGAGAGTGATTGTTGATCAGTCGAGGGTGTGCCCGCTTTTTCGCCCTAGCTCCCAGCGCTTGCACAGTGAAACAGCTGTTTCGCGCAGCTGGGAGGGAGTGGGGAGCAGGGGGAAAGTGGTGTGCTCGGGGAGGAGGCGAGGCCAGGGTGGGAATTTGGGGAAGGGGTCCAATGGGATAGGGAGGGGGCGGAGTTGGGGTGGGGACTTTGGGGAAGGGGTTGGAATGGGGGCGAGGAAAGGGTGGAGTTGGGGCAGGGGGACGCAAGCAAATCCCCTACCCCCCTTGGAGTGTCCTTTTTTTGAATGTTCCAATATGGTAACCCTAGTTTCATAGTAAAGATTCCTTCAACTGCTTCTCTTTTTTTTTTTACACGTTACAAAATGTCTTCTGTCGCAGCGCCTGCTTGCTTATTTAGTCTCCTTAACTGCCCCAGATCTACTCCAGTTGAAGTCAGAAGTAGAAAAGTAGGCAAATTTTGGAGACAGCACAAATTAAAGCTTCATTTTGTATATTTGAATGTTCTACAGAGAAATAGCTTGTGTCATGTCTTAGCAAGCTTTTACTGTAATGAAAGAAATATGGTGAAAAGTATTTTTGTGCAGTGCTGGCCATCCAGTGAATTTTTTTTGGCATTTTTCTTTAATTTCAAAAGTGTATTATTTAGTAGCATTTTGCTGCAAATCTATATGGTAGAGCTACTGCAATAGCAGAAATTGTTTACACATCACTACTTTAGAAGAGGACAAGCTTTTTGTCCCCTTGTTTATTTTGCTAATATGTTTTTAAAATGGTAGTGTTGGGGATGGAGGGTAATGGCCAATTTGACTGCTCATGGAAGAGTGTGACTGGTGGGTCTAGCTGTGGTTGGGCATTGCTTAAATTCATTGGCAGAGTTACAGGAAATTAAGCCCCAAGAAGGTCTGTAGACAGAAGAAGAGCATTTCTCCTTTGCATCTTACCAAACTGAAGTGAAGAAGATCTGAATAATTGAGGGGCCACTCAATCTTACAGAAAAAATGTGTTTAATTGTACTGCAGGAGCAGTGTATTCAGAGGAGAGACTCAAGGGTGTTGGTTTTCTATAAATGGGTACCCTGGTATTTGGTAAGAAAGTGCACCCATGTTGCTTCCCTCAGTCCTCCTCATTCCTGGTTTCTCTGTTTTGTGCCTCTGCAATTCACTTGAATCAGGGTAAATACCTTGATCAGGGTTTAAGGGATTGCGCTCTGTGCAAACTACAAACTATTGTTGGTAGTAGAATGGGTCAGGGAAGGAGACACCACTAAATGGGAAAGCTTTGAACTCTAGAAACAGGGCCTCTCTTGATGCTCCTGGAACTGTAACATCCTTAATATTCCTGCTGTCTGACTTTATAGGACCAGGATGGCGAATTTAAGTTGTACCAAATTATAGGTCTCTTATGTTGAAAAATGTCCAGTGCAGAATACTAAGCTCCTTGTCACTGATGATAGTCTTAGTGTTTAAAACTCTGGTCTTCAGAGAACATTTTTCTGTAATAGTTTCTTTCACATGTTATGTGTGTTACTTTGTTGCTTTTGGGATGGATATGAATGTTTAAGATGTGTGTTTGGGTATACAAAGGTTAAATTTCATTACCCAGAGTTAAATTAAGTTCAGGAGTGTGGGAAACTTTCTTGCTCCATATGTGTACAGAACCCACTCTGTGGTAAACTCTCACATAGAAGGATTGTGCTTGAACTGCTGCAGCACACTATCCTTCCTCTACAACACCAGAGTGACACAAACACTTTATACTAGTCTTTCCGTCAGTACCTCTCAGCAGCCCTGGAACATTTAATCCTTTGTTGGGAGAGGACAGAAAAGACAAAATGAATA